AAGTTTTTATTGTTTCTGGGGCGCCTGGGTGGCTCAGTCGTTAAGCGTCTGCCTTCGGCTCAGGTCATGATCCCAGGGTCCTGGGATCGAGCTCCATGTGGGGCTTCCTGCTCAGCGGGAGGCCTGCTTCTCCCTCTCCCCCTCCCCCTGCTTGTGTTCCCTCTCTCTCTGTGTCTCTGTCAAATAAATAAATAAAATCTTAAAAAACAAAAAACAAAAAGCCCAGGATATTTTATTTAAATGTGTGAGAATACCACGAAGCAGCGGGCTACGAGACCTCACCACACAGCGAGCAGCAGAGCTGTGTGCCCATGGGAACGCCCGCTTGTGCGCCTTCACGTGTCCTGGGTCCGCAGCGGTGCCACTTTTGAGGGTGTGGGGCTCCCAAAGCCCCAAACCAGCCGTCCTCCAGGCACAGATCCAGACACAGATGGAATGAAGTCTGATGGTGTGTTCCTGTGTGCATGTGTGTCTGCACACATGTGCTTGTGTTCATGCCTGTGTGTACCTCTGTGATCATGTGTGTGTGAGTTTTGGAAGCATGTGCATGCAGGTGCACACATACACGTAAGCATGTTGATGGGCTCTCACTCACCTCTCTTCTTCCTGACCCTCTGCCATTCTGACCTGGGCTGTGGGCTGGCTTGGCAGCTCGCTGGGCCCGGGACTCTCCATGACGTGCAGGTGCTCAGCCTCCAGCCTAAATCTTTGCCTCTCATCCCCTCCCCAGCCCACCTGCGACAGCAGGCAGTGGCCAGGTCCGAGCTTAGCTTTGGGCTGGGTGCGTCCCTGCTTAGATGTTCTGGCTTCACCGCAGAATTCACGGCTGCCACAGTGTATATCCCCACTCGACCCCTCCCTGGGCTGGGCGGCACTCAGACCCTCAGGGAGTGCCTTGGAAAGCCTGAAGGTAGGTTTTTGAAAATCCCGATTGACCCTACATGTCATTGGGCAGCCAGGAGGAGACACACTGAGCCCAGGACTCACTGCTATGTCCAGAGTATGTGGGAAGAGGGGGCCAGTGGAGGGAGAAGCCTTCTTTTGAAAGGAAATAGACTGTCGAGTTCTTGGCCTCTCCAAATGTCTTGAGAAATAGACCCTTGGACCTATTTGGGGGAGATTCCCCCAGTGTTCTGCTTGGGAGAATAATGTTGGCTTGATACCCAGCTGAGAACAAAAACGTCCAAAAAATGCAACTGCAAGAAGAGATGTTTTCTCTGTTCCTCATGCTGAAGTCTGACTGTCTCTCTGACTAACTTACTCAAAACCTTGCCTTCTCTGGGGACAAGAAGAAGGAAGACCCAGTCCTCCTTCTTTCTCTCCTGCCTCCTTTTCTCCTGCCTTCTGTCCTCATCTTCCTCCTGTCCTCCCACCCTTCTTCCCTCTGTTGGTACACGTCTCGGTGACATCCTGCTGGAGGGGTGCAGCTAGGTCCCTTCCCCTTTGCTCTCATGGCTCCGGGGACTGGGCAGGGGAACCCTGCACCTGCTCCCTCCTTCTCACACTTCAGCCCTCAGACACGAATCCTCGGGCATTTCCATGCCAGAGTGTGCGGTGTACCTGCGTTTGAACCCTGACCACAGCCACATCAAGCCCTTTGAGCTGCCGGGCTTCCCTCAGCTCTGTGTCCTCATTCACAAATGGGCAAACTGCTCTTTTGAAGGTCACTGGGCACTCACCAACAGTGTCCAGCCTGGCACTGGAAGACCCTCAAGAAATGGCTAGGTGGATGGGCAGAGGGGTCGGTGATTTCCAGCATAGGGGCAGGCGGGGCAGGGTAGGCATGGCAGGGAACTTATTCCCCTGGGTCCCTGTCACTCCCCTGCCCCTCAGTGGGGTGCCCGCCAGGTCTTGTCTGTGTGGCTGGGAGCATGGCCCTGGGTTGGGTGGCTGGTGTCTGTGGGCCCACCAGGGTCACTAGCCCTTTAACAAGAAGCTAAGGAAGGAGGGCTCCTTTGAGCAGAGTTTTGAGACCCCCGCCCCCCGGAGAAGTGAAAGGAGGTTTCCCAGCAAGAGGAGACCCCAGAGTGGCATTAGGGCTCAGCCCTTGTCACCCACGTGGGACACTCCATCGTGGGGCAAGAGCCTCAGGGGCTCTGACTCCCACTTGGGGGTGAGGGTTTGCCAGGTGAAGGATCTTGTGTTACTTTTATTATTACAACAAACTCCTTTTATTAATTCAGTCCAAGTATGTCATGAGTTGATTATCCCCAGAAATCTATTTACCCTACAGGCCTATGGAACAGCTGATGTTCTGTGGTGTCCTAAAACTGAATTAATTCAAATCTGTTCAGCCCAGAGCAACAGTGTCAGCAGATGAATCCATCCGCTTGGACCTTGAGAGGAGAGCGGCCAGCGTCCTGGCTCCTTCTGCAGAGAGGAGCCACCCTGGGAAGCTGTGGTCAAATCGAGAGCCCAGATGAACCGGAGCCCAGATGCCCGCCGAGGTCCTGAGGTAGCCTTACGTGGGCGGCAGAGAAAGACTCGGCAGAGCGACCTGCATATTGGAGGGGCGTGGCCAATGCACTAAAAGAACTAAGCACTGCAGGCCCACTATCACCACCAACACAGAGGGGTGAAGGACAGCACAAGTAGCGTCCATCTATAGAAATAATTAGCATGGTTTCTCCTCGTATCAGAGAGCTGGGCCCAACATATTCACAGACATGCAGCTGGGCTCCTGGCAGGTGCTGCAGGGAGCTCATTAGCTGCGTAGGTGATTTCCTCCCAGCAATCCATGGAAGCATCTTTACTCATAATCTGGGAGATTTGGGGTGAAGACAATGGCACTGTGCATCTCCATCCATGTCAGGATTTTTCAGCCCAGAGCTGCTGCTGCTGATCACTTCGGGCAGTGCCCTCGTGTTGTTCTGGCTCTGCCTGGGGGTCAGTGCTCATGGCCCATGACCTCCCAGCCCCTGGAGGTGCCTGGGACACCATCCCTATCTCACCTGCCAACCTGGGCCTGCTCTGAGCCCCAGCCTCCTGGCCCGTCTGCTTCTCAGGCCTAACCCTTGTCTTTAGCCCTGTGCACTGGCTGTGGGACTTTACCACAGTGTGAGGTGGGGAGAGAGACAAAGCGCCGGGGTGGTGGGAGGGAGGTCCGTGGGGCTGCAGTTCACACAGGCCACCCTCCCCTCAGTGAGAGGACCCTGCTCACAGGGACAGCCTTACCCAGGAGGATGGCTGGTCGGGGCAATGCAGCGTGCCCGAGCTGGAGTATAGCACATCATCCTTGACCAACACTGAAATGGCTCGGAGGATGAAGGAGAGGAACAGGTTCAAGTGGATGTAGTTCCGGGTGCAATGCAGCTTCCTGTGGTGGAGAGAGGCAGGGATGAGGGGTGGAGGGGTGGGGGAGGCAGGGATGCGGAGGGGCGAAAGGGGGTGGGGTGGGGGAGGGATGAACACTTTAATAATTGGATTTAATATTAAGGCTTTCTTCTTTTTTTATGGAAGTTTCAATTCCTTACTGTACATTTAGGATGTTTTCAGTTTTGCATTATGATAACTATCTTTGTAGGTAAACTTTTCCTTTATTTCTATCTCCTCAGGTTGCAGTCCTGGAACAGGATTTCAGGATAAGAGTATAAAGCAAACAGTGCTGAGTTCCGAGTCTGCAGTGGCATGTGTCCACTTCACAGATGTGAAGACTGAGTATCTTTGCAGCAAATTTCCTGCAAGACCCATGTCAAATGATCTGCCTTTGAACTTAACTTTATGTGATATCTTGCTTCTCTAAAAAGTGCTCAGAACATTTTGTTTCTAATTCGCTTGTACCACTTAGATTCTGCTCTGGAGAAAACTTAGTCGGTATTTGATTTGACTTTTAATTCAGAGCCATCAGGAAACAAGCTACTCCACACAAGTGAATGCTAGCTCTTTAAGTTTCAATAAGTTAAAAAATGTTGAAGGACATTAAAACACATTGTAAGGAAGACTTCTACGAGAGGTGACAAAGAAGCAGCTTATCTGACTACCTCCCCCCAGGGGGCCAGCGTGGTTTCGGACAGCTGCCTAAGGACCAGGAGAGTGGCCAGAGTGGCCAGGACCCAGAGCACCGAGACCCCGGTAAGAAGAGAGGCCCCGAGACATGCCCCCCCTCCAGCCTCCGCCTCGGTCTCGTCTTTCGAGGCCACTACCTACACAGAGATTAGAAAGAGATTCCGATACTGGCATCTTAAGATATGGACTCTCTTACTCAGATCAGTATATTCAAAATAATTGATGAAGAGGTGGAGAATTTTATTAAAGAATGGAATTGATTACAAAAATCAAATGGAAAGTTGAAAACTCAAAAAGAACCCTGAAATTAACAATCAAAATGGCTGAGTCTAATATTAGATACAATAAATGAGAGTATTATGAAATAGAAAATAGATCGGTTAAATACATATAGACATCAGTATAGAGAAACAAAATAATGGGAAGTGATGTAGGGTTCGAAGCCAACGGCAAGAAAGAATTCTCAAGACATTTTCAGTGCAAAAAAGGTGGTTTTATTAAAGCAGGGGGACAGGACCCGTGGGCAAAAAGAGCTGCACTGGGGTTGTGAGGAGTGGCCCATTATATACTTTCAAGTCAGGAGGGGGTTAGGGACAGCGTAAGTCTCTAAGGAATTTGGAAGCAAGGTTTCCAGGACCTTGAGGAGGCTGGCTGTTGTTAGGAAAGGGCCATTTACTACTGTCTAGTCAAACCGTAGTTATGAGACCCTTCAGATGCGTACGGGTGGGCCATGTGCTTGGAGGATGATTGCCAACACGTATCTTGGGGGGGTAGAGATAAAGGAAGTTTCCAAAGTAATTTCTTTAAAAAAAAATTTTTTTTTAAATTTTATTATGTTATGTTAGTCCCATACAATACATCATTAGTTTTTGATGTAGTAATTTCTATATGTTAAAGTAGACTCAGGATCCTGGGGGCTGGGCTCAGGTTGCCTTTTGCCCTTAGCAAATATTAACATCCAGTCTTCCCTAGAGGAAGTTCACTCTGCCTGTTTCAAGGACTTGTCAGTGGGCTGTAGGTGGCAAGGAAATATAATAATTTTTCTTCTGCCTTTGTTTCCCACATCAGGAAGTATAGAAACAGAGTAGGAAATATATGGGGAATGGTGAAAACACTGTTGAACACATGAGAATGGAGTTTCAGAAGGAAAGGAGAGACAATAGGGTAAAAGCAACATTTAGAGAATACTAGCTAAGGATTTTTGGAAACGAATAAAATAATGAGATTAAAGAAATGCCATTAACCTCAAGAAGGACAAATACAAAGCAAACCACATTAAGTCCCATGACAGTGTCACTGCTGAAAACCAAAGACAAGTAAAAAAAGCTTCTAAGCACCCCAAGAAAAAAGACACCTTCCTTCAATGAAACAGTGGTGAGACTGGCCGCTGACTTTTTTTTTTTTTTTAAAGATTTTATTTATTTATTTGAGAGAGAGAGAGAACAAGCTGGGGAGAGAGGCAGAGGGAGAGGGAGAAACAGACTCCCCGCTGAACAGGGAGCCTGATGTGGGGCTCGATCCCAGGACCCTGGGATCATGACCTGAGTCGAAGGCAGATGCTTCACCGACTGAGCCACCCCGGTGTCCTAGGCTGCTAACTTCTAAAAAGAGAAATGATGTTCATTTTTAGTGTGATGAGAGAAAAAACTGCCAACAAAGAATTCAATACTCTCAAAAATATCCTCAAATGAGGCAAAATTAAGATGATTTCATGTGATCAAAAACCACAAGCCCTCATTGTCAGTAGGCCTGTGCTGAAGGAAATCCTACAGGGGGTCTGCAGGCAGAAGGAAGATGACCCCGATGGAGACACAGGAGGAAGGGAGAGCCTCGGGAAAGATAAACACATGGCATCTCCAAGTAACCACTGACTGTAAACGACAACTATAATGCATACGGCCTTAAAATAGACTTCGGATTAAAATACATTACAATAACACAAAAGACATGAGGGGGTAAATGGAATAAAAATGTTGTCTTGAATTGACTGGGAAGTGGTAAAAATAGTGATTGGAGGTTAACTCCTACGAGACAAGGACGTGTGGCAATTTTGGGAGATGCCTAGAAGCAGCAGAACAAAATGTATAACTGACAATCTGAAAGGGGAAAATTGGAATAATAAAAGGAAACATGAGATGAGTGTGAAAGCCTGCCCCTCCCCCCAAGAAGCTGGTGTCTGTCCCCCACGCTGGCCTGTTCCCACTGCTCCTCACAGGGGCTGGGCTCATCTCTCAAACACCTCTGCTCTCTGCTTTCTCCTCCTCACTCTGTGCTGCCTATGTCTTCCCCTGAGTGGAGTCTGGGATTTATGGCGGTCTCTCAGACATGAGCACACACTCACTCCAGTTAGCGAGCAGTCCAACTAAATTATGTTTGCTGAGTTTCTGAGCTATGTTCTTCATCACTCATTGCTCATTGTAAAATCTCACTTCCAAGTATGGATCTACACAGGATGATGGATGTAGCTGAAATTGGGGCTTCCAGAGAAACCACGCTGGAATCTGCTCCTTCCTGGCGGCTGGAAATGGAACACCAGTTCCCGAAGGTGAGACGGTGGACAGAGGTGTGGGCAGCGCCTTTCTGGGCTGTCCTGCTCTAACTGGTAACAGGGGGACAGGAACAGCACTGACCTGCGGAAGCTGCCATAGGGACTAAGCTGATGAACACCTATAAAATGTGCGGTGTGGTATGTGTTGTTAGCAATCTGGGCTTGTGGGGACTGGAGCTGCGATGTCAGGTGCCTAGACATCAAAGACGGTGGCTGCAAGGACTGCCCAGCGAGTCCCACGCAGAACTAGGTGGTGTGTTTGTGATCCAAGTCTACGCTGAGATTTGGAGCTGCCTTAAGAGACAAGTTGCTCTGCTTCTCTGTGTGTAAAATAAGGGCGTGGTTACTTAATGCTTTCTTAGCTATGGGGCTATTATGGACAGTAGATCCCTCATGATTGTAGAAAGTTGTTTCCTGGGTAGAATTTCCAGGATGACGGAGAAGTTATTTTTAGAATACGGAGTTTGGAATTGACACTTGTAGCATCGGACACGCAAGCACAGCTGATGGACGGAGGCAGGGAGGTTCGAGTCTCTGTGGCCCAGGAGGAAGGCAGACCCACGAACCGTACACCAGCTCCCGGCACTGATCCCAGCAGCCAGGACACACCGACCACGGCAGAAGGACATCCACAGCAGGTGTCACCAGGAGGTGACTAAGGATGTGCGCATATGGAACATTGTTTGACATTCATGAAACCATTTGAGATTCTCTTATAGACCAACATCCACTTTTGCAATAATTCAAAATGCCCGTAGGCTGGCTAATTAAATATGTCATGCATCGCAAATCCCAGGTAAACTGCCGATGTCAAGAACATGGATTGTTCAATATGGGGGCTCTTGAAAACCAAGCTGTAACTTTTCTAGTTCAAGTTACCCTGTCCCAGCTTGCCTCCCTAAAATTTTCCTTTCTTTTTTTTATCTTCAACAATTTGAAGATTTAAAAATACATAGTAAAATACAGAAGATAGCAGACTAGAATAGATATTAATGTTGCACAAGAGTTTCTATTCTTTTCTTTCCAGAACAAGAATATGATGGACTGTCCCCACATTTTCCGAAGAATAGCTCTTCATTACAGCTGCTGACTTACTCTTCCTGAGGATTCCCACCCTCCTGATGGAGTTGAGATGCCTGGAAAGTATATTACATTTGATGGGTTTCTCAGCTACAACAGTCTTTACTTGTTTATTTCCAAGTATGGATCTCCTCATGGATTATCTGTTAGTTTCTGAAATATTCCATTTGTTATATTTTTGTTTTTATCTGAATACCGGCCAACATGTGAAATATATTTGTGTAAAGAGAAATAAGACCTGTGGTGATCAAATCCCTGTTAAAATAAGAGGAATATCAATTGGCTTATTTAGTACTGGGGATATTCAAGTCACAGATTTAGTCCTGAATATACTTACTAGCTCTTCCTAGACAGACGCTTCTGTTCTGAAACCAAAGCCTCTACCTTTAACCCTAACCAACCAGCTGTATACACCGCATGTCATTAGTTACCAAAAAGACCTACCGGAGGTTCGGGTGGGTGGGAACTCTAACTGCACACCAGGGAGAAAAACAGCAAAATTCAGAGTGCTTCCCACATGCCACGTAGCTTCATTAGCACCCACACTTTGCGGATCACAGAGAGGTTCAGTAATTTGTCCAAGGTCACACAGCGACTAAGAGACTGACCCAGGATTTGCATCCAGGCATCCGGCTCCTGCCTTCATACTCTTGAACACATTATACTGTTTCTTAACACTCTTAGCACCAATGGGCAAGATCACGTTGCTTCCGTATTTTCAAAGGATTTGCATAATTGCTGAGTATTTAGTAACAGCAGTTGAACTGAGTTCTTATAGCCAAAGTCCGTATTATCTCTTTATGTAAGAAATGCAGAGTAGGGCGCCTGGGTGGCTCAGTTGGTTAAGCGACTGCCTTCGGCTCAGGTCATGATCCTGGAGTCCCTGGATCGAGTCCCGCATCGGGCTCCCGGCTCGGCAGGGAGTCTGCTTCTCCCTCTGACCCTATCCCCTCTCATGCTGTTTCTCCCTCTCTCTCTCTCTCTCTCTCTCAAATAAATAAATAAATAAATAAATAAAATCTTTAAAAAAAAAAAAAAGAAATGCAGAGTATTTAAACAAAAATGTAAATATTAGCATCATATTTCACACTAGCATTCTCCAAGGGAGTTTTATTGGTTTAACACAGGGAGAGAGGGCTTGGAGACAGTGAATTTCTTTCCTCTTCTGACGGGCCTAGGTGGCTTAAATAGCAGAAATGCTTATTTTTGATACTTACCTGAAGAGGCAAAGAATTATGCTTCCGGTTGTAAGGGAAATCAGAGAGACACTGTAGCCCAGCGTGTAAATGGCCTTCACCAGAATGTAGAACGTAATCTACAAAGAGGGAACAAAACAGCTGTGAGGTTTTGGTGGTCAGCACTGGACCGAGCAATGCTTCCTTCACGCGGGCCCTCGCTGCCCATCTCGGGGCGCACCAGACAGCGTCAGCCCACCTCCATTCTGAACCCAAACACTTTATTCTCCTCTTTAAACGCCCACCTATTTCCCTAAAATTCATTCTGAGTGACTGTGTGGAGCAGGGAGAGGGATGACCTGGGGGGTCCCCAACTTCGCTGTCTGATCACTATTAAATATGTCATGCATCACAAATCCGAGGTAAATTGCTGATGTCAAGAATATGAAATAAGCTGAAATTTTTCTAAAAAATATTTTCTAAAAATAAGCTGAAATCAGAGGAGGCTTGGGGGGGGTGCTTCCCATGAGAGAGCCCCAGAAACCACAGGGGACTGCTTTGAAAATATGTCCTGACCTAACTGGGTTTTGCTGCTCTGGACTCCGTGAGGAGGGAGGACCCAGGGGACATTCCGCACTGGCCCTGATTTCTCCATAGCCCTGTTCACACCAGCTTAGTGTAAATTCTAGAGAGGGGATGGTGCCCACCGAGCCGATTCCCAGCCCTGGGGTCAGCCAACAAACACGGGTTCAGGCTGGGGTAGGAGGGACGGCCTTGCTCCTGTAGCTTCGTGGGGCTTGGCAGCGTCCGCAGGTCAGTGGACCCCTGCAGGCTGGTCTGCACCCACTGTCCAGCCCCACTGTTATTCTTTACCATCAAGGTGATGCCTTTTGAGGAGAGCTTTCCCTCTCCTTATTACCCTTATTATGGAAGACTCAATATGGGTAATGACATATTTCAGAAGTAAACTAAAAATTTGGAAAAATGAATTTCTAGTTAATATTTAATGATAAAATGAAATTAATTGGTATAGCCTCTCAAATAGTTCAGGCAATCAAGGTTAGCATGAAGCTTGATCTGGCAAGCTAATGTATTAATCTGATTTTAGAAGGGTTTTTCCTTGTTAAACCTCAAGGCCCTGTTGTCATTCTTTTTAGCTCAAGAAGAGAGGAGATGTCATGCTGGCATTCTGAAAACGTCCTTGAAAACTCTAATTTTAAGTCTTTGTCCACATTCTATGTTCTATTCTGAGTGAGAGATTATAAATAGGACTGGGGCATCCTGAGCAGCTTTTTACCATTTCGTCTTGTGATCAGAGCTCACGTTAAATAACTGGAAAAGGCAGTATTTCAAACCTACCAACCGCAAAGCACAGAAAACAACATATCTATACTTAACGAGCACGTATCATGTATCTAATATACCCATCACATGTAATACATACTATACACGTAATAACAGTATCTATAATCAACAATCTCCAACCAAGGGACAACTGAGCAAGACCGCGGGGAGACCCCGGTAGCCGCCTCCCTGACGCTGGGACGCTGGCCCCCGGGATACCTCCACAGGGCATGGGCACGACCTTGCACCGTTCCGACCTTTCTGATGAGTTCTCTTCTGCGCGTGGATGGCACGTAACTTTTATCACCCATCAACTGTGTCGTCTCTTGTCCAGTATTGGCTTCACGTGTTTTCAGCCCCTCGGCCTAATTGTACCACCGCTCTAAACAGTCAGTCTTTGCTGGGTTCCCTTGTTTGTTCATTCCTTGATTGTTGCTTCATCCTTTCTCGATTCTCAGTTCTTTTTTCTGGCTTCATTTTACCCCTGAAGCCCATTTCCTGGGCATTTTTAATGAGAGTCTGCTGACTGTGGATCCTGTCGGTTTGTTTTCTGACATGTCTCTTTCCCTCGTATTTCCAAGTGGACATTCCTCTTCTTCAGGCCCTGGGAAGGCATCTGCCGCCTGCCCTGTGGCTTGCACGTGCGTGGGCCATCGGCCTCAATCTCTGGCATCTTCTGGCAGCTGTGGGGTTCTCTATGTATGTGGGGTGGTCAGGCTCTCCGAATCGGATTGGTGCCTCCCTCGAGCTGCATTTTCTCCGGCCAAGCCTGCAGTCACACTGTCTCCTGCCCATCCTTCTCCCTACTCTTGGAGCCCACACTCCCCATCCCAGAACTCCGGTACCTACGTCTGAGTTCCTGTGTAATGTATCTTCTCGACTTTCATGTTTAGGTCTATTTTTCCCCTTATAAGGTCTGGTAAGAGCATCTTGTTCCAGGTTTATATTTTTAATTTCCACTTTTTTTAACATTTCAAATGCACTTATTTGCATTCTATGTCTGATGACTCCATCATCTGAAGTTCTGAGGATGTAATCTGTTTGTCATCTGCTGACTTTCACTCACAGTGGCTTTTTCTTGGTGTGGTCTGTGCATTTGGAATATAAGCTTGTCTTCGGAGTGGACCTATGGGAATTTGTAAGGTCTTGGCAAAGATGCTTCCTTCCAGGAGCACCTGTGTTCACTTCTGCCAGGTACCCCCCCGCTGCTTCCATTCAAGATGCCTTACATGAGTGTCTCAGCTCAGAGCTGCAATACCACGCACAAGACAGAAATGGGAAAACCCAACCTGCAGGAGGGCATGCCCGTGGTGACAGATTTTTAGATTTTCCTCCTGGAAAGCAAAGGCGGGTAAGAACAGTTTCCCTGTCACCTCCATGGCCAGATTTTTGGTCTAGCTCTCAACTCCAGACGCCCAGCACCATCCACACCTGCATGCTCTTCATAATGACCCAGCAGTTGCCCCGGAAACCAGCGGCCCCTGCTGCCTGGCACCTGATTCTCAGCTCTTTTATTGAGATTTTTTTACTTTCTTGAAATCTCAGCTGTGCATTTTAAAGCAACACTGTTATACTTCAGCATTTTTGAGTGATTTGTACTGGGAATTTTTTACCTCCAATTTCTTACAGAAGACTTTCATTTCTTGCTGAACATATTTGGTATTACTGGTTAATTTAAATCTTTCTGTTCAACACATTTACTCAGCTCTTAATTGGAACCAGACACTGAGCAAGGTGTCTTGGGAACAGGATGAGTGAGAGAAGGGTCCCACCCACGACGAACTCACAGACATATTTTCACCACTGGACTGACTGTCCCAGGAGATAATGCATGAGCTAGAAATTGAGATAGGTATAAATTAAAACATTTTTCTCTGTGTTCACTTAAAAAAAAGAATATCCACATTTCAATTTATATTACTTTGCTTAAATATGGTTTAGATTTTACATTTCTCATGTTTTCAATCATTTAAGAAGGCTTAATCTGGTTATTTGCAAATTGCCTCTGTTAAGGGCTTTTCGAAGCAGAGTACACTCCAGGGCAAGCTAGAAACCTCAAATAAAAGGCAGCACTGGGGAAGTCTTACCAGAACAGAACGCAAAACAACCACGTAATAGCTGAGCCACGCCAGAACCAAGGCTAACGGCCGCAGAATTGCATGCAGTGCTTAACAGGCAGGAAACTTGCTCACAGCCAGCTTTTAAGAGAATGAGGCATATCACAAGAAAACAATCTGGGGTCTTTGCTCAAGGAGGTAGGAGGAACAACTTTTGGGCTTTTTCTGTGTACATCTAATCTCCTGTATCGCTACCTATGTGGACAGAACTGAAGAATAAGAATTACTGTTTAGAACACGAGCCCTAAAAAACTGTGTGGAGTTCTCCATCTTTGATGCAAGTTTAAATTTATTTTCATTAGAAGTGGCTAAAACCAGCTACGTGGTTTCAAGAACTGCACAGTGGGTCTGCACAGTGCTTTCGTCTCTGGGCTCCAGAGCCCAGCCTCTGCCTCCTGATCCAGCCTCCTTCCCCAGGGTCCCCCACCTGCAGAGACCTGCTTTCTGCTCTTGGTGAGGCCATGGTGTTATGATCCATACCAGTGGTTCTCCCAGTGTGACCCCCAGACCAGCAGTGACAGCATCACTTGGGAACTTGTCCAAATGCAAACTCTCAGACCCCATCTGTCCCTGCCTGCCCCAGAACCAGAAGCCTGCAGTGATTCTGATGTGGCTTGTTCCAGAACCTCTGGTCTACACCACAGACAGAGTTAAAATGTACACATGACCTTTCCTGTGCTGCTAAAACCCTCCACAGAGCCCTTTTGCTTGTGAGCAAAGCTGTGTGCCACAGCGAGGCAGCTGCTGGCCCCTCCTCACACTGGGTCCCCTATAACGAGAGGGCAGCCTCCACTTGCTCCCTTCATTGCTATGAACAGGCTGTGTCTTACCGTTTCCATCCTGATTCTCCTACCCACTGCTCAGCAGTCATACAGGGGTCCTTCCTCTGGGGACCCGCCCTCCCAGGCTCTGCCCTGCACCCACCAGCTCACACTGTGGTGGCTGGAGCTCCCTGAGAGCAAGCACCAATCTTGTCCCCTTTTGCACCCAGCCCCCAGTGGGCTGCTGGGAACCGGAGATTGCAAAGCTTTACAGTTTTCAAATCTCTCCTGACCATGTCATCTGATCTTCAAACTGAGGTGAACCAGGAGGCTAGCATGATGGCCTCTGCCTAGCAGAAAGGGCTGTCACAGCGTAGGGGTGGTGGATGAGTGGGAAAGCACGCGCATCACTGTCTGGAAAACAATGGTTTCTCCCAGAACCCTCTTAATAATGATTTACCTGCTCATCAACAAGTAGCCCTTTGCATCAGGGGCAGAAAAAACACCACTAAAGCTCAGATAGCTTCTTCTTAGGATAGGTCCCACTTGAATTAGAAGGCACAGTTCCTGTCCTCAGGGTGCGTAAAGTCCTGTTGGGTGAACAAGACCAAAACACACCTGGAAAACGCACAAGTAAGAGCTAACCTGCATTTCTAACTCCGAATTCAGACTGAATGGCCAAGGCACGAACAGGGGCAAGAAGAGGTGGGTGGGGGGAGCTGGTAGAGGAGCACTCGGGGCAGGGGAGGAGAACTGTGTTCTCCAGGCTGCAGGGGGTGGGGTGGGGGCCACTGGCCAGGAGGAGCGGGGCATCCGGGCCCCCGAGAGACAACACCAACACTGGAGACACTTCTCCCCGACTCCAGGATGCACACACGCACGCACACATGCGCACGCGGACTCACACAGTCCATCTCC